TATATATATATCACATATTGAATAAGCTATCTTTTCTTCAACAAATGGTTTAAGTTTGTTTGTCAAAGCTGAATGTGTCAGGGGAAGTTTCCATATCCTCTCTAGCCTTCTACTGATCCATCTATCTGTTCTTATATGAATACCATGCTGTTTTTATTACTATTGCTTTGTAATATAACTTCAAGTTGGGTATTGCTATGTCATCTGGTTTGTTCTTGTTGCCCAAAATAGCTTTTACTACTCTTGGTCTCTTCTGCTTCCATATAAATTTTAGGGTTGTTTCCAGTAGGTCTGTACAGTATGCCTCAGATAATGTGGCTGGGGCAGATTCAACACAGTCCCTAGCTTAGCTTATTTCTGTGCCTACATCAGAAAAAGAGTGGACTATGCAGCTTGTAAAATAGTGCAGTTTGCCATGATAGAATTGAAATTGTCCCTGTATTTCACTCCTAGTGATGCTATCCCAGTTATTCACTTCCAGAAAATGAAAATATTCAATTTTTTGAAGTCAGTGTTTTTGGTTGGAAATTTAATAGAATTTAGAGATCAGAGGCCAGAGTTAACCCTCCAGCCCTCATTTCAGGGATTCCCATCCCTGTCATATCTAAGCAATAATTCTTTAAAAGTTTTAAGTGATCATTGTCCTGTAAAAGGATCTTCCCTCATCATGTACTTCTGGGATCACTAAATCGCCAGTTCTGGAAAAAAAAAAAAAAAAAAAAAAAGAATACTGGGTGTTGCTAACTAAAGCACGGAGATCCCCTCAATTATATTCTATTTATTTCATAATTTTATGTATGTCTGGATTTGTACTATGGTCAATTCTGATGCTTGTAATAAAAGATCACTCATTTTTCCTAATGTCAATATGTCCAAACAGCATAAGCTTTTGGAAATAACAGTCTTTTAAATTTTATCCTAAATGTACACTGCAAAAATCTATCTCAATGAAGTTACAGTACTTTTGCAGACTGTACAACACCTTATTGGCTTACATCTAACAACAAGAATTAAAATTTAAG